ATCACCTTAACATGATGGTGTATCATAGTTTATCACCTTTTCTTGATGGTGTATCATAGTTTATCACCTTAACATGATGGTGTATCATAGTTTATCACCTTAACATGAGGGTGTATCATAATTTATCACCTTAACATGATGATGTATCATAGTTTATCACCTTAACATGATGGTGTATCATAATTTATCACCTTAACATGATGGTGTATCATAGTTTATCACCTTAACATGATTGTGTATCATAGTTTATCACCGTAACATGATGGTGTATCATAGTTTATCACCGTAACATGATGGTGTATCATAATTTATCACCTTAACATGAGGGTGTATCATAATTTATCACCTTAACATGAGGGTGTATCATAATTTATCACCTTAACATGATGGTGTATCATAGTTTATTACCTTAACATGATGGTGTATCATAGTTTATCACCTTTTCTTGATGGTGTATCATAGTTTATCACCTTAACATGATGGTGTATCATAGTTTATCACCTTAACATGATGGTGTATCATAATTTATCACCTTAACATGATGGTGTATCATAGTTTATCACCTTAACATGATGGTGTATCATAATTTATCACCTTAACATGATGGTGTATCATAGTTTATCACCTTAACATGATTGTGTATCATAGTTTATCACCTTAACATGATGGTGTATCATAGTTTATCACCTTTTCTTGATGGTGTATCATAGTTTATCACCTTAACATGATGGTGTATCATAGTTTATCACCTTAACATGATGGTGTATCATAATTTATCACCTTAACATGATGGTGTATCATAGTTTATCACCTTAACATGATGGTGTATCATAATTTATCACCTTAACATGATGGTGTATCATAGTTTATCACCTTAACATGATGTTATATCATAGTTTATCACCTTAACATGAGGGTGTATCATAGCCTATCACCTTAACATGATGGTATATCATAGTATATCACCTTAACATGAAGGTGTATCATAGTTTATTACCTTAACATGATTGTGTATCATAGTTTATTACCTTAACATGATTGTGTATCATAGTTTATCTTTATCACCTTATCATGATGGTGTATCATAGTTTATCACCTTAACATGATGGTGTATCATAGTTTATCACCTTAACATGCTTGTGTATCATAGCTTATCACCTAAACATGATGGTGTATCATAGTATATCACCTTAACATGATGGTGTATCATAGTTTATCACCTTAACATGATGGTGTATCATAGTATTTCACCTTAACATGATGGTGTATCATAGTATATCACCTTAACTTGATGGTGTATCATAATTTATCACCTTAACATGATGGTGTATCATAGTTTATCACCTTAACATGAATGTGTATCATAGTATATCACCTAAACATGTTGGTGTATCATAGTATATCACCTTAACATGAAGGTGTATCATAGCATATCACCTTAACATGATGGTATATCATAGTATATCACCTTAAAGTGATGGTATATCATAGTTTATGACCTTATAATGATTATAATGATGGTGTATCATAGTCTATTATCTTACAATGATCGTGTATTTAAAAAACTACATTTGATCAGCCTTGAAGTGAGTGTCTAAAAATAGGCATAATACAGTGAAAAATAGAGTGTATGTCTTGTAGCAAAGGTGTCTATTAATAATAGACATAATGCATTTAATAATAGACTGTATTGCCTTGTAGTGAGGATGTCTGATAATGACATTCATAATACATTAAATTCTACTACCGAGATAGGAGCATGATGATAGCTGCCTTATACAGGAACTGTTATCATGTAGACAGTAGTCAGCAAGGGAATTCTTATCCCAAGTGTACAGTAGCCCTTTTTACACACAGTCTTTGCTCTTGCACTAGTCATCCAGTAAAGCTGCATAGCTTCTTTCTAGATTATTAGATTACTGTATAATCCTTATGGAAGTAGATGAAAAGATTCTTTAATTAAGTGTGGATTGCACTCAGAATTGAATCAAAGCAACCATCTAATGGACTTTGCCTGACTAGATTCTGAAAATAGGAGTGTGTGTGTATATTGGGTTTGTGCAGTCAGTACAACTAGCTAAAAGTGTTGGGCAGCCACTCTCAAATAGGCATCCAGAGCAAAGATGTTTAATACAAATGACAGTATTAAAATGTTCAAGGCTTTCTCAAATGGAACATCATGGAATCCATTTCAAGGCAGAAAGGTAGCTCCATCAGCTCCATCAGTTGCCAATTACAACATGTAGGAGAATGTATTAGGCCTGTTCTACATCCTTTTAATGCATTGCGACTGTTCTAAATCCCTTTTAATGCATTGGGACTGATCTACATCCCTTTTGAAGCATTGGGATTATTCTACATCCCTTTTAATGCATTGGGACTGTTCTACATCTATTTTGATGCATTGGGATGGTTTTACATTCTTTTTAATGCATTGGGTCTGTTCTACATCCCTTTTAATGCATTGGTACTGTACTATATCCCTTTTAATGCATTAGGACTATTCAACATCCCTTTTAATGCATTGGGACTGTTCTACATCCCTTTTAATACATTGGGACTGTTCTACACCTATTTTAATGCATTGGGACTGTTCTACATCCCTTTTAATGCATTGGGACTGTTCTACATCCCTTTTAATGCATTGGGACTGTTCTACATCCCTTTTAATACATTGGGACTGTTCTACACCTCTTTTAATGCATTATTACTGTTCTACATCCCTTTTAATGCATTGAGACTGTTCTACACTCCTTTTAATACATTGGGACTGTTCTACATCCCTTTTAATGCATTGGGACTGTTCTACATCCCTTTTAATACATTGGGACTGTTCTACACCTCTTTTAATACATTGGGACTGTTCTACATCCCTTTGAATGCATTGGGCCTGTTCTACATCCCTTTTAATGCATTAGGACTGTTCTACATCCCTTTAAATGCATTGAGACTGTTCTATATCCCTTTTAATACATTGGGACTGTTCTACATCCCTTTTAATGCATTGGGACTGTTCTACACCTCTTTTAGTGCATTAGGACTGTTCTACATCCCTTTTAATGCATTGGGACTATTCTACATCCCTTTTCATACATTGGGCCTGTTCTACATCCCTTTTAATGCATTGGGTCTGTTCTACATCCCTTTTAATGCATTGGGCCTGTTCTACATCCCTTTTAATGAAATGGGCCTGTTCTACATCCCTTTTAATGCATTGGGCCTGTTCTATATCCCTTTTAATGCATTGGGCCTGTTCAACATCCCTTTTAATGCATTGGGACTGTTTTACATTCCTTTTAATGCATTGGGACTGTTCTACATCCCTTTTAATACATTGGGACTGTTCTACACCTCTTTTAATGCATTGGGACTGTTCTACATCCCTTTTAATGCATTGGGACTGTTCTACATCCCTTTTAATACATTGGGCCTGTTCAACATCCATTTTAATGCATTGGGACTGTTCCATATCCCTTTTAATGCATTGGGTCTGTTCTACATTCCTTTTAATGCATTCGGACTGTTCCACATCCCTTTTAATGCATTGTGCCTGTTCTACATCCCTTTTAATGCATTGGGCCTGTTCTACATCCCTTTTAATGCATTGGGTCTGTTCTACATTCCTTTTAATGCTTTAGGACTGTTCTACATCCCTTTAGAGCAATTGGGACTTGTCTACATCCCTTTTAATGCATTGGGCCTGTTCTACATCCCTTTTAATGCATTGGGCCTGTTCTATATCCCTTTTAATGCATTGGGCCTGTTTGACATCCCTTTTAATGCATTGGGACTGTTCTACATCCCTTTTAATGCATTGGGACTGTTCTACATCCCTTTTAATGCATTGGGCCTGTTTGACATCCCTTTTAATGCATTGGGACTGTTCTACATCCCTTTTAATGCATTGGGACTGTTCTATATCCCTTTTAATACATTGGGCCTGTTCTACACCTCTTTTAATACATTGGGACTGTTCTACTTTCTTTTAATGCATTGGGACTGTTCTACATCCCTTTTAATACATTGGGCCTGTTCAACATACATTTTAATGCATTGGGACTGTTCTATATCCCTTTTAATGCATTGGGTCTGTTCTACATCCCTTTTAATGCATTATTACTGTTCTACATCCCCTTTAATGCATTGAGACTGTTCTACATCCCTTTTATTACATTGGGACTGTTCTACATCCCTTTTAATGCATTGGGCCTGTTCTACATCCCCATTAATGCATTGGGCCTGTTCTACATCCCTTTTAATGCATTGGGACTGTTCTATATCCTTTTTAATGCATTGGGCCTGTTCTACATCCCTTTTAATGCATTGGGCCTGTTCTACATCCCTTTTAATGCATTGGGACTGTTCTACATCTCTTTTAATGCATTATTACTGTTCTACATCCCTTTTAATACATTGGGACTGTTCTACATCCCTTTTAATGCATTGGGACTGTTCTACATCCCTTTTAATACATTGGGACTGTTCTACATCCCTTTTAATGCATTGGGCCTGTTCTACATCCCTTTTAATGTATTGAGCCTGTTCTACATCCCTTTTAATGCATTGGGACTGTTCTATATCCCTTTTAATGCATTGGGCCTGTTCTACATCCCTTTTAATGCATTGGGACTGTTCTACATCCCTTTTAATGCATTAGGACTGTTCTACATCTCTTTTAATACATTGGGACTGTTCTACACCCTGTTTAATGCATTGGGCATGTTCTACATCCCTTTTAATGCATTGTGACTGTTCTACATCCCTTTTGATGCATTGGGACTGTTCTACATCCCCATTGATGCATTGGGCCTGTTCTACATTCCTATTGATGCATTGGGCCTGTTCTACATCCGTATTGATGCATTGGGCCTGTTTTACATCCCTATCGATGCATTGGGCCAACTGTTCTACATCTCCTTTAATGCATTTGGCCTGTTCTATAGCCCTTTTGATGCATTGCTATATAACAATACTCTTTTTATTCAGTTTGTTTGCAGATTGGTCTGGTGGCCTAAGTGGTTAGATTGTCTGCCTTGGATGCAGGAGGTCATGGGTTCAAACCTGGCCATGTTATGCCAAAGACTTATGCAAAGACGCTCAGCATTAAGATGTTAGTGTTAGGACTTGTTGGCCTAGTTTCAGGAAAAGTGACTGTGTGGGACATGATGTTACATGCCTGTGGTATCATACCCCAGTGCTAGACATTACTATGAACTGCAGACATTGTTGCAATATGACTGAAAAATTGTTAAAGCTACATTAAAAATCCAAATATCTTACACACCAACACACAGAACACATACAGATAGATATCTATAGCCATGCCCTAATCTACATTTTTTTTGCAGCGAAGACTCTGATCTGCTGGTACTTTGTTCATCAATGAATGATCTCTCTATAATATTTATATTTGAATGCCTTTTTGACTTTTCTTTAAATTTCTTCTACCAGTATTGACTTTGGATTTCCATATTAAATACTGCAATAAGTGTAAAATCCACATGCAATAATAATGATAATAATAAAAATAAAAATAAAAATAAAAATAATAATAATAATAATAATAATAATAATAATAATAATAATAATAATAATAATAATAATAATAATGCTTTATTTATAGAGGGTGACTCATAAGTCAAGGTGTATTCTTCCTTGAGGCCCATTATATGAAGATAGCAATAATTAATATTTATTTAAAAAAATTTCCAAATGCAATAAGGCTAATTTCATGTAAACTCTTTTATGACATATTAAAAGATAGTTTATATATACATTGTTGGGGGAAAGGCTAGAAAAGAAAAGGGAAAAGTAGACCCAGGCACTAAAGGTATCCTGCTTCATTACTGAACTAATGGCATATGAAATAGCTGAATCCTTCTCTCTGTTACATAGCACTACAGGTTATTTCTCTAAGGAACATGATCTCTTGGCAAAGAAGGAAAAAAGTTCTCCTTGTTATGATTATTATGTTCTTGAGTTGGAACCCTGGGGTGGAAGGGTTTGCCACAGCTGCATGTTTTTCTGATTAATGGGAAAGAGTAACGTTTTTAAAGATGTGTTTTTTAAAGTGTCAAATTTCCTTAGTTCCTTTGTGAAGAAAATTGGGCAAGAGAGGTTGTATGGTTCAGCAAGTTAAGAGATTACTAGTACAGATTTATCCTTTGCACTGATTTTCTTGCCAAAAATAGTGATGAATAGAAACTGTGGAATACTTTATCTGTTGATATTACTTTTTCAAAAAGTGTGAAGAAAGTCGTTGAAAAAGACATTGGAGCGAGAAAATTAATTACCTTATGGATGTGTATATTTGACATGGAATTTGTTTTTAATAGTTATTGTGGAATATATTAACAGGAAAATATATTTTATGAACATATATTTTAATACAGGACATCTTTTGCACATGCTTTGTTTGGATGTGCAGGTGAAGTTCAAAAGAAACACAGTAAAAGAAATTGGGAGAAATAACCTTCCCTGGATATATTGTTTAAAATTTGTTGTCAAGTGATTTGATAATAGATGCACACACCAAAGTTATCATTTATTTTTGGATAATGTTGGAGAAGAGTTGGACAAGCAGAAATATTTAACTTAGAGATTGGAAAATTATATTTCTACATAATCTATTCAGAAATGTTAACAGTGGTGGAATTTATTTTTTGTGGCAATTCTGCGAGTGGGAATGATTTTCTGAGGATGTAGATGTTTCTAGTAGAAGAATTTATTGACACTTATTGTCTATATATTTTGATGTTCAAAGTGGATATTTATTTTTTGTAGAGTTACTCAAACTGACTCATTGACTTTTTAAAATGCTTTTATAAAATGTACATCTTGAATATATTGATGTAGTATTTATAATCTGTACTACATTGAAACTTGTTTTAGCAGACCTCAGTAAACAAAGGACATTGCTCATAATGGACAGTTTAAACAACAATTTTCTTATTTAATTTCTGTATAAAGAGCTTTTGTTCAGGAAAGGAAATATTGTGGTATTGAATGTTTAAAAAAAAACAGTTTTGTGGGACATCTTGTGTTTTGAGTGTCCTTTATAAACATGTTTGTGGGACTAAGTATGTAGAGTATTCTAACAGGTTTGTGGGATATATATTTCCTAGAATATTAAACTCCAGCATAAATCACAATTTTATTGATTCAGGTTTCTGGACTGAATGAAGTTAATACTTAAAATACAAAGTAAAAATTGAATAGAAGATTGATATTTATGACAAGTATTAATTTTAATATGAAACAATCATAAAAAAAAAAAAACATTTTATTTGATAAAAGAACTTTATTCAATCAATTATATGCGAGTTACTGGCACCAATTCTGCCTCTCCATTTGATCAAGTTATCTTGGATCAGACTGCCTGATTAAAGTTAGATCCCTTGACAGTGTTTGGAATAACTAGTCTACAATCAGATGAAATATTGTGGTTCATTCACACAGGAAATTTACACAAGTGTACAGCATTCCATTGGTATCACAGTTAAAACTGGAATCTGTTCAGAGTTGTTCTGCACACAGATAATAGTGATTTTGGGCGATAGTTGCTGATTAAAAAATTGATAAAACACTCTTTCTGCCAGTTTGTTGATAACTTATATCCAAGGTAATTTGTCCCAGTGATTTCTGTAGATACACACTGTCAGAGCTACTTCCTTGTATTGGAGTGCCAGTGTATTTGAGTTAAAAATTGTGATAAGAATATTCCCAATGGATTTACCAAGTTCTATGGAACTGCATCAGAGCAAGAGAAGTAAGTAAATAAATCATAAACCAGACCAAGGTTTTCTCAGTTCTGTATACATGTTTTACTCTAAAATCAGATCATGGTTGTTATGGTCTTTCTTAGGAAATATTTGAATATGTGATAGAATACACTAAGAATTTGATGAACCACTTCAAAATAGCAAAGATTAGTGGGAAAATATACCCCATAGATTGTTATGTAGTCAGATTAGCTGGTTAGGATTTGAATCCTGTCCTCACCAGGCTAAGGCTGGCAGCTACTATCGAGGTGCATAACTGCATAAATCGGCAAGACTATTCAATTTCCTAAACCTTTCATGTGTTGATGTGCCAGTTATTTAACCAGTCATTTAAATCACAATGATGGATGCCAACGTGAATGACATTAGTCTTTAATTTTGAGTAAACTCCCATATAATAATGATGATGATGATGATGATGATGATGATGATGATTTTGATTTAAAGACAATGACAGTTATTTGGAGAATTTATGTTGAACTCCGTAAAGTTGAACATAAAGGCTAATGCACACACTAGACACATACACAGTATTAGCATGTATGCCTGCATGTGCAACATTGTATCACATTTTTTCTGTTCTGGAAGCTGAGCCATATTCTGACTTTTAATCCATGGATTGCAGGTTCAATGAGTGTCTGGCCTGCCAATCAACTTTCTATATCCCAAACATGTGCATCAGACATACATGAGCCGACATACTGTAAATATACAGTATATCCAGTATGTACTTACTACACCAGATAGATGGAAAATATTATGCATACTCCCTTTATAAAACTTTGTTAGTAGCTAAAACTATGAATTGACCATCACTTTGGACACTGTACCACCTGGCATTGTCTTGTTGTGGGGTCTCTTCAGTTATGAAATGTTTAATGAAATCACTTTCTTTAAAATGTACACCTGTACTACTTTTTTGAGCCATACATGTATCAGTATAAATCCAGGTACATTTTGAAAAAAAGAGGCAGAGTGTTTTATGAAATAGGAGGGATGTAATATCAAATGTCATTCAGGTTGATAGTGCATGATTTTGAAACCTGGTTGATTTTCAATGTAACCTTTTAGAAATTATTGTAAATCCCCCAACCACACTTTCTGGAATGGATACTTTCTATAATGTACCCTTTATGGTCATATTCATAATTACATAGTAATTCTGCTAGAGATGTGCATTTTGTACTGGGAAGGATGGAAAAATTATATATAAGGCCAAATTTACTTTTGCATAAAAGTGGTAAAATTATCTTGAAGACCTATGGAACAAGCATCTTTCTGACCTTTACAGGAGAGAGTTGATAACAGACATAGCAAATCAATAATACCACAGTAGTGCAATTCCTAGTCTGAGTTTCCTCTCCCCTCCCACCCCATTTTGAAATAAATGTTGGAGCATGATAATTAGTTACCTGTTAGAATTCATTGCCACTATAGGGTTGCCGTCAACATCCTTACATTGGGCCATACCTGCAAGAAATCTATAGGAAGACAATTTATTTTCTTTATGTTTTTGATCCACTAACATATAAGACAAAACCAGTGTTGACTGCTCTGGTGGCCTAGTGATAAGAGCATCTGTTTCGGATTTGGGAAGTCATGGGTTTGAACCTCAGCTGAGCCTTACCAAAGAGTTTAAAAATGGTACTAACAGCTGCTAGCTGTGCTTGGTGCTCAGCATTAGGAGATTAGTGTTAGGATTGGTAGGCCTGGTGTCAGGATAATGTGACTGGGTGGGACATGATGCCATATGTCTGCTGCATGCTGCCCCAGTGTTTGACATCACTATAAATGGTCACACTGCAGACATCATAGCAATATAACTGAAAAATTGTTAAAGTTACATTAAAAATCTAACACACACACACACACACACACACACACACACACACACACACACACACACACACACACACACACATATACACTAACATGCACACACACACACACACACACACACACACACACAACCAGTGTTGATGAAATATGACCTGGGACTCACCATTTGCATGGATAGTCTTATGACTAAAGAAATTGTGCCACCTACATATCCATTACATCAGAAGTATAATAGTCACATGGTATTAACAATAAACCTCTTTTCCAATGTTGGTGTACTCCAACAATTGAAATTATTAAATAAAACTACACATGATGAGACTCGGTTCTAGGCTCCCTCACTTGGACGTAAAAAGAACTAAAGCATACTTAATTTAGAACATATTTTTTCCAAGAATGATGACCAGTAGCAAGAACCTGGAGAAAACCAGATTAACCAAGCAGAAAGCATATGTCAG